TTGGACATCTTAGGAGAAGCTTCTGGTGCAAGCTGTAGGTATTCTTTCATACTAACATACTTCAACCTTTGTGCTAACATACTGCTTAAGTGACCACTTCCCTTATGATGTCCAGAGCGCTGTCGGTGATAGTACATGTTACAAAATCATCAAAATAGGAGTAATCTTTACCCGGGAGACCCCAAGTCATTGTAAACAGTCAACTTTCCAACATTTATATTTCTAATAATATTCATATATAATAAACCAGTTCCTCTTTTCACATAAAATTATACATCCTGATTTTTCTGTTTAATTTTGGTTTCTTTATAGTATAAGCCTACATGAAGTAGTAATAAACTCTGAGTTTCCAGAGTAATAGCTGAAAATTTATGACAACTGTTTAATGAAGTAAGTGTGAAAACTCAGATGATCTCATGGTTTAACAGATTATATTTTATCAAGTAACAGAATATGGAAGAGGCTCATCCAACCCAAAGTACTTCAAATTTGTCAAGAAATGAAAATACATTTCTTCTGATGAAGTAAAACAAAATTTTTTGAGGAACTGACTTGTGGTCAGCCCCTGTCAAGCACAGCACTGGTGTTTGCAAGCATACAGTGATGGCACTTTGCAAGTCATATGAGCTATTCCGGATAAAGGGCGAGATTTTAAAAATACTAACAGATAAATTGCCACAGCTACTTTTAGATGCTGTATATTTAGGCTGATTATTAATGAGCAACAATTCAGAAATACCAATTTCAAATGAACATCCCCACACTCATATTGTCCAGCTTGTCCAGAATTTTACCCTTACATTAAAAATGGTATAAGAAGCCATGTTTTAATTTAACAATATGAGGAAGTATCACCAAATTACTTGAAAATACTCTTAACATTCATGTAAATTACTGAATTAGAGATGTAAACTAATTTATATTCTTTATTTACAAGGAATAATTTGAATTTGATTGTTTTGGGGTTTTTTTGTTTTTTTTTTCCAGTACTAGGAATCGAACTCATGACCTTGCACTTGCCAGGTAGGCACTGTACCACTGAGCTAAATCCCCAGCCCCAATAATGTGAATTTGAGGAATTATAACATAGTAACATGAACCATTTTCAATATTTCTATCTTTAGTCACAGAGCTTTTATATGAAGAACCTGGGCCTGAGTCATAACGGTACAAGATTAGCCAAAGGCATGCTATGGAAAAGCTACATTTTCTGAATAAAAATTATTTTTAAAAGATGGTTAACTGTCACTGAAATGTCCAAGAAAATGCAAACTGTATAAATTAGCAATTTCAAAAAATGTGTAATTTCTAAAGATCTTTTGTAAGTGGTTTATTATACATACAATTTTGTTACTTTGGGGGAAGATATTTTAAATTTAGAATTGAAATATTCAGTATTTATTTTACATTCTTTCTTTTCATATTTTTCAATGAGATTAAATTTTTATCTAAAAATTGTGACTCTAATCATACCTACATAATGAAAAGATCATTATACTGATTCAATGAATTTAAAAGACAGTTTGGTAAATGATTTTGAATAGTTTCTGAAATACATGAGCATTTTCTGAATCTCAATGTTCTCATTTGGAGGTGTGTATATAAATCTTTAAAAATTTGGGGATAATCATAAAATTGAAGATTACAGTTTAAATAAAAAATTACAATTTAATCAGTTCTAGTTCTTAACTACGCTTTAATATTTAATATTTGCATGCAAAAAATAAAAATATAAAGACACAATATTATGAATATCTGTATATTTCAAAGAGATTTGAGCCAAGACAAAGTTCAAAGACATGCAGAAAAATGACATAGTAAAACCTACTTAGAAACAGAAATTTAGAGGGGCTGTGGATTTAGCTTAGTGGCACAGAGCCTGCCTGGCAAGCAAAAAGTCATGAGTTCGATTCCCAGTACTGGAAAAAAAAAAAAAAAAAAGAAAAGAAACAGAAATTTAAAAGGGATTAAAAACTCAGGATTTAAATAAATACGATAGCTGCAAGCTTTTCATTAGTATTAAGACTTTCACTAGTGAAGCATCTTTTAATTTTTTATTTAAATATAGCAAGAGATAGTCAATTTTATGTAAAATGTGTAATTTTTGTTTGAATAATTTATGTTAACATCTTATTACATGAAGGATATATTCACTGTCAACTGTTCATTTTTAGCTATCAATTTATATTTTACATTTAAAATTTTAGTCAACGTGTCCATGATAAATCTCTTCTGTATAAATCATCCTGTTCAAAGTATATGACAAAGAAATTTGTGAATTAAAATGTAATTAATATTTCTTTCTCCTTTTTATGAAATACCCATGGACATGTACCAAACAAAAAATGCAGACTAATTCTAATTATTAAGTTTTGTTTTTAACGGACTGCATCATAATATTCTTTAAAAAGTAAGTAGTTGGGAAACTAAATATCACTGGCTAAATGATTTGCATGTAAATTATTCCTACTCCAGAAAAGTGAAAGGTATCAGAATTTTGCTACTTGAATAAATATAAATTTAACCCAGAATTGAAATAGTACAGTTAAATTTGAATTGAATTTATATGTTGCAAATATTTCTTAAAAAGATTATATGCAAATAATGTGTGTACAAAGGAAACCAATGCTTTGGCTTTACTGAATCTTCAAGAACAACTAATAATTCTGTCTATGTGTTTGTTAAAGTTAAAACTGAAAGACAAAAAGTTCACCCATAAAACACTGGCTCATAACTTTCACTTTTAGAAATACATGTAAGTTTTTAACAAATACATATTTACTTTATAGAAATACACAATATTACTTTATGTCCATTGTGATAAGTAATTTTTAAAAATCACCTCAAGTTTTCCATTTCACATACTGCTATAAACACCACTTTTATAAAATGACTACTAAAATCTAAAAAATTTTGGTTTGCATTATGGAATATATCACTACATTTTCAAGAGTAAGTAGATTAAAAAGTGAAATTATTTGATATTTGCACTGCATCAAATGTTTTTGGTGTTTTTGAGACAGGGTCTCACTATGTAGTTTGGGCTGACCTTGAACTCACTATTTAGCCCAGGTTGGCCTTGAACTTGGAGTCATCCTTCTTTCTGAGCCCGCCAGGTGCTGGGATTACAGGCATGGGCCAAATACCTGGCTTGTGTTTCATCAGTTCTATATGTAATGTTTTCATTACAATCCTCAAAATTTTTGCAAAAAATAACTTGAAACACTCAAGCTTAATTAGACTTAAATATTATTCTTTTAAAATCTGTATTAGAATTATTGGCTTTATAATTCCAATACAATTACCAAAAGAAATATTTAACATGTACCTTAAGTCAAAAAAGTACCTTTTTTCTGCTAAAAACAGGAAAAAGAAAAAGCATCACATTATCTTAAAGAAATTACACAAAATTATTTTCTTTTTCAAATATAATCTTCTTAAAATAATAAGCATGAAATTATAATTTGAAGTTCTTCACAATATTAAAATATAATCAAACCTTGATGGAAACTGTATATTCAATGTATCATAATCCACTTGTTTTCTATGATACAGATGTTACCTATGCTGATGGAAATATATGTGGGTCCTACAGCTGCAGAAAGGCATAGCACTGATTACAAATTAATGATAAAAATGTACAGCTACCAAGTCCAGTACTAACGATTGTAAGGTTTAGTTGAACATATACTTTAGATGTTTTAGGCATGTGACTATTTTAATTGTCAATTTTTTTTGTGTGTAAAATAATAGAGAACTTCACAAGGTTTAAGGAACACATCTATAAGTCTGAATGAACTGAACAGCAATTTATTTACTTCTTATAAAAAATGTTTTCCCTTTGAAAGTCAATTAAATGAATGTGCTTGAGTTTTAGTATTTAAACTAGTTCTTTTGTTGTTGCCAGTTCCTGTCACAGTAACATAAAATTTCTTAAAAGTAATCAGAACAAAAAGCTTGCACGGGCTGCAAATATTTTAATTTGGAGCCAACTGAAAAGTACAGTAGGAGTATATTTTCAACGGAACGGAAAACATTTGTGGAATGCTTTACTTTTGTTAGATTAGAGTCATGTGATTTTGAGAACAATCCACTGAACTCTAGAAGTTAAAGAGCCAGTTTTTGGTCTTACAAACAAGGCCTGAACTATGTTCACTGTTTCTTTCATTCCAAAGATATAGTGATGAAATAAAGAGAGAAAGAATGAGGGAGGCAGAGAGAAAAGCACAGTAAAAGAAAATTAACCATGTTAATTTGAGTAATTTGCCAAAAATGCAACCTGGTAGCAAGCATAGCATTAATGTATAAGATAAGAAACTAATGACATAGATTTGCCATCCTTTTTCACATTACGTTTAGATGTTTTCACACAATAGTTTGATTTTTATACTGGAACAGAAGGAAGAGCAGTAAAGAAAAAACCTGCACATGCACAGGACACTTGCCAAAATTTTCTACTTTACATTTGTGAAAGTGATGGTTTTGCCTAAACAAAAAATGTGTCCAAGTATAATACAGAACTTGTAATCTGAATCAATAATGTAGTGTAAATTATTTTGTACAAAGGTATACAAATTGTCTACATGTAAAGTATGAAGTATATTTAGTATACCCAAGATAATTTAAACATTCACACTATAATCCTATTGAAATAAAAATATTTTGTAACACCTGAAAATATATTTAAAAGAGATTATGCAATACATGAAATAACACAAAGATGAACATTTGTCTGCACCTAAATTTTAATTGAGCCTGAAACATTGCATATGTTGTACCACAAAATTCCATGGCTAGAATTTGCAGGTTTCCTTAATCCAATCATATGCTGCTGATATGCTCAGTGTGATTATTTCCTCAATGAAAAACCTAAACAATAAAAAAATCAGATATGCACACAACATAAGTTTACTGTATATGGTGTAGTGTAGTGGAAAGAAACCACTTACGAGGAGGAAAATAATTCATGTTTTCGTTCTACACACTTTATGATTCTGACATGACAAAAGTTTCTCAAGTTTATTAAAGCTAGGATGAGTTTACATTTACCTTCTTAGTATAGTTGGGAAATTTAAAAATTAAAAGTAATCTTTGTTAATAAATTATACAAATGTTATTTCTCATCTTCAAAAAAGTTGGACAAAGGTACACTGAAGGTAGAAACACAACATCTATAGATACCACATGAGAGGATTACATGAAATAGTACTGATTTGAAAATATGGCACAGTTTGTAAATCTTTGAAAGACACACTGAGAAATTTCCTATGGATATTACTTATACTGTCTAGAAATATGTCTTTAATTTTGTGCAATTCTTCCTTTTCTTATGCATTAAGAAATAAAGCTTAGTTACAGGGAGGATTCAACACTGCATTAATTGTTTTGAGTTTATAAAATATTGTTACATCTTTATATAATATTAAGGAAGTGATAGACATTTTAGAAAGAAAATCATAACTACTACTGTAAAGAAAAATTAATAACAACCCTAAATTCAAGGTCCAATTCTAGTATTTATTTTTTTCTTTTTAATACTGGATGTAACAGAGAGGAGGTAGATGAAGAGTAAGAGATACATCTGCAATCTCATGGCAACATCATGGGATTTATTAGGCTTACTCCTTTCCCCCTTTGAAAATAAATGGTAGGAAAAAATATTGTAATGAATATGGATAGTTTACTGAATTTGTTTGACATACCATTACATTTTTTTAATTCTTCAGGGGAACTGCTACTACCAATTCAATCCGAAATCAAGTAGCTACTGTCAATTTACTCATGGGTGAATGCTGCCTCTTTGTGGCAGAATGCCATGACAATTGTTTCTTAAACACGAAGTGCATGAACAGCCCTTGATATTGTTTATATTCCAGGTGAGACGACATATGGAGATATCCACCAAAAGAAATGAAGCATACGGCTCATTACATTTTAGATTAATTTAAATATGTCCTACCCTTAACTACTAACCTAAATTCACTGGCCAGCCTTGCTTAGAGGTGAACGGGTTATCCCCACCAACATTTTGAATATTTAAGACACAGATCAGCTAGTGTATCCACCATAATGTTGATGTTAGGTTTATGTAGTTTAAAATATGGAAATTATTGAAAAAAACTGAATAATACTAACATGACAAAATACATACTATTAAGAGAAAATGAATATGGAATAGACTACTTACCATGCTCTTTGTATTAGATGAATACTTCAGTAAGGAAACAATGTACTCCCTTGAAATACAGTTAATAAACATAGTAAGTGGCAGCAAAAAGAAATACTTCCCTGAACCAAGAAAAGCATAAATTTTATATATATATAAATGTATATTTTGAAATTGTTATAATTAGCAGAAAAAAACTTCTATTAGGAATAAAGTTTCTCTAGTATATCTTAAATTGTCAATTATGGAGGTTCCACCAGTCCCACATAGCTAAGTCTTGTGCACCTCGAGCAATCATTACTTCAATCCCTCATATTTGACATAGTTATCAAGTGTTTATTCAGAAACTATTTAAAAAATTACATGTGCTGGGATACATATGAGACTGTAACAACAGTAGCCCCATCATACAGAGATCCTGTTTGTCATTAGCGTCATTGCTTGTTGCCCAGAGGCATAAAGACATTGTCTAGAGACTTGAATGGTCCATCTTTTGGTCTTCTGAGGTGCCAGTACATGTGCATCTGTACAAATGCAAGTGGGTTTGGTTAAACAATTGAAAATTGGCTACAATAGTAGTCAAATTAATACACAGTTTGGTTCACTAATAAAAATACTTTGAAATCTTCTCTAGTAAAACCAAAAACTTGCACACAATTCTCTTGAATGGCCCAATTAGTCATCCTAACCTTTTTTCTTTTATACAGTGGGATACAATCAGTATAAAAAAATACAGGTTCAATTGGGTGGGTGGCATTGGCTTTTAAAGGTTTTGCCATTAAGTGCTCCATATTTTTAATGATCGAAAACACCTTCCTGACCATCACTTCAGTTCTGGAAACGCAGCTCCTAATACAACGTGACACCTCTGCGAAAATCATAGGCTAAATAGTGAAGGAAAGAGGAAATGCTAAATGTGCATATAAAAATAGGTGCTACAATAAAATATTTGTATATTTCATCAATAAGTTATTTTGACTAATCAATTATGGATCATATAGCTCTGTGATTTTTAATGATTTGTCCACATCTCTAGTGATCCTTTTCTGGATCACAACGATTTTTTTTTTTAATCCAAACGTCCAGAATGCATACAAACACATCCTTTAAAAACAAAGGAAAGGAATTAAAAGGAAGGTGGGAAAGGAGGGGAGGAGGGAGAGAGATCAAACTTCCTGTTTCAATTGGGATGTGCTAATCTCTCCACCAAAGCCATTTAGACCCACCCATGGCTTGAAGCGGGAGAAAGGGAGGTTGGGGGGGGGGCAGAGGAAGGGTAGAATCTATGCGCTGACTTCTGCCTTCACTCTTAGCACTTTCAACCAGTACAAAAACGACTGCGACCCTTCACAGGTCACCCTTGCAGCAAATCGCCCTCGGGAAAGCCTCCGCTCCTCCCCCACACACAAGGAGAGAAAATGATGTGCCCAGTTTACACAAATGTTTCCCCCGTGTAAAATTAAAAGGAAAGTGCACACTCTTTCAGTATCTTCCGCCGAAGCTGAGAATCCCCGTGCCAAGGCACTTCACCCTAAACGTTGAAACGACACAATTAATCAAAGGTGTTCACCGTGTGTGTCCGCTCACTTGTTTGTTTTTAACGCAAGAGCTCCCAGGGAGTTTCTTTGCTTTTAGAACTGGCTAAATGTGGTCTGTTTTTCCAGCACTTCGAGGTAGTCCGGCTCAACGTTTAGTTTTGCTTTTAACTCCAGATACTCGTTCCGGTTGGGTTCTACAAAGACAGCACTCGGGGGGCTGTAGAGCACCGGTTCCCGCAGCCTGCTGTCCCCAGCCCCCGGGTGCAAATACTGATGGGGGCGTCTCAGGTCATAGTTGGGGGAGAAAGTGTAAGCAGCGGGGCTGCACGGGAATTTGGGATATTCTGGGAGGCTGCTGCCGGCGGGGGTGGTGGAGCAGTGTTTGTCTGGTTCTAAAATGCCCCTATAAAAGCGGTCGGCGTCCTGCACCGGAGACAGCAGGTCCTCCCGGGGCTCGATGGTGCTGACGCTGTAGGCGGGGCTCCGCAAGTGGTGGCCTTCCCGCCTCTCCTCCTCCCCCGGCTGCAGCTGCAGCTGCGGCGGGGGCTGCTGCAGGGGCTGTGGTGGTGGCGGCGGCGGCTGCTGCAGGTGGTGGTTGCCGCTGTAGGTGACCTTGAGCTCGTGCAGGTCTTTGTAATCCTCCACGGAGTTGCCTTCCCGGGAGCGGTAGATGGGGTTTTTGCACATGTGGCCCAGCGGGTGCGGGATGTACTCGTACACGTGCCCCGCGGGCGTCTTCACCTTGGGCAGCGCGGGCCCGCGGTGGCGCCCGTGCGCGTGGGGGTGGCCGCCCGCGCCCCCGCCGCCGCCGTACACGCTGTACTGCATGTTGAACGAGCTCACGTCGGAGTTGTTGGTGCTGGTGTGGTCGCTCTGGTTCTTCTTCCTGCGCTTCATCACCAGCACAAAGAGCCCAGCGGCCACGAAGACCGACATGATGAAGACCAGCAGCAGGCTGAGGATTAGCACGGACAGCGGCACGGAGGATGCCCCTCCAGCTGCGCCCAAGCCCGCGGGGGCCCCGGTGCTGTTCAGCCTGACCGCAGGGGTCACCGGGCTGGTCCTGGCGGGGACTTGGATAGAGGAGGGCGTGGGCGTGGAAACCACGATATCCGAATAGTCTGGACACAGGGACTCTGATTTAATGGAGCGCATGTCAGTCTCCGCGAATTTCTTGGGTGCCTTACAGATCACCTCGTCTACAAGGACGCCCACCTTGAGCTGCTCCACCCACAGCTTCATGCCTACCACCTCGCAGGTACAATCCCAAGGGTTGTCGTGTAAGTCGATCTGGATGAGCGAGGTCAGCTGGTCCAGAACTCCACTCACTGGCAAGGAGGTGAAGTGGTTACTCCGCAGGTTCAGCCTGAGGAGCGTCAGGCCAGAGAAGACGCCGGAAGGCATCGCCTGCAGAAGGTTGTTATTCAGGAATAACAGCTGGAGGTTTGGGACTGGATCGAAAGTCCCAGGCTGGATTTCCCTTATGAGATTGTACTGCAGGAAGAGATACTGCAGGCTCTGCAGGCCGTAGAATAACTCTGAGCTCAGCCTCTCAATCCTGTTGCCATTCAGGTAGAGGCGTCTCAAGTTGCTGAGATCCCCAAAGGCGCGGTCCTGGATCATAGAGATGCGGTTGTTACCCAGGTGCAGGAGGTCCAGCCCAGTGGCCTCCAGGAAGTCTGTCCTGCGCACAACAGCGATATAGTTCTCAGTCAGATACATTTTCTTGGGATTGTAGGGCTTGGGCTGCAGCTCAGCAATGCTCTCAATCTTGCGCTCCTGGCAGTTTACGTTGAGGCCCAGATCAGAGATCTGCAGGTTGCAAGTGCACGCGGTGGGACACTCCAAAGGCACCGGGGATTTGGTCTGGTAGGCGATGCTGGGGCCATAGTTACTGTAGCCCAAGTCCTTAGAGGGCTGCCTAGAGGTGGGGCGCACTCTGGGCTTGTTGGGTTGGCGGGTTCCCTTAGGAGGTTTCAAAGGGGGTTTGTAAACAGCAGAGGAAGAAGTGGCCACTGAATTCACTGAGGCTGGGGTGGTGTGTAAATACCCCGTGGTGCTCAAAGGTGTCTGTGGCCTCATCTCGTAGTCTGAAATAAGTTTCCTTGGGCAAAGTTCCTGCTTAGATATCTCATCCAAGTCCCTGCCATGTAAGCGGAAAGGGGTCTCACAAACCACATCCCCTACTAGGGCCGAGTAGGAGATGCTGTCCAACCAATCCTTGAGAGAGATCAGCTCACAGGAGCAATTCCAGGGGTTTTCCTCTAGCTGTAACTCCACAACTTTATCCATGTGCTGTAACAGCCCCACATAGGGCAGAAGTTTCAGCCGGTTCCCCCGCAGGTCCAAGTGCGTTAAGGGCACAAAACGGAAAAGATTGTTGGGTAAACTTGACAAGAGATTGTCATTGAGGATAAGCACCTGCAACAAATGCAGTCTTCCAAAAACATTGGGTTCAATGACGCTGATGTAATTGTAATCAACCTGTAGGTATTCCAGGTTTTCCAAACCAAGGAAAGTATCATCTCTCAGAAGTTCCAGTTTATTGTTATTCAGGTGCAATCTCCTCAGACCCCGAAGCCCATGGAAAGCCCCAGTCTCAATGTCTTGGATAACATTGCTACCCAGATGCAGAATTGAAGCCCCAGTGTAATTGACAAATTCATTAGGATAGAGACGGTTCAGAAGGTTTCCAGACAATAAGAGGTGATAGATTGGGAAACGGGGAGGGCTGATTTCAGAGAGACTAATAATTCCCCGGTTTTCACAGCTCACAGTTAAAATGCCGTCCTTTTCCTCACAAGGACATGCATTGTCACAGATTTCCCCATAATAATCGATGGTTTCTGCACACGAAAGGACGAGAGATGTTACAGCAAAGGCTAGAGTCTGCAGCATCCAGCTATGCATTTTTCTGTGAAGGTCCTGTTCCAAAGTTACTGGGGGGCAGCAAGTGTGCATTTTACCTCCTGCAAGGGAGAGAGGAAACAAGGAAACAACAGAATATGACAAAAATTTAAGGGATTAATCAGAAAGTCTCTCTCCTCCCCTGAATTCTAGGAGGGGATATGAATGGCAACCCCCACCCCCACCCCCAGCCGGTAGAACACCAGACAGTCTCTAGACTTTATTAAAATTTGATATCCATTTTGATGTAAAGGCTCATTTCATTTTCTAATGAGCATGCCACCAATGTGCTGCTCTTCACAAGACGAGGGCAGAAAAAATCCCATTTTAGTGTTCTACGCTGCTCCCCCCTTTACAAAACCAATCCATAAATATACATAAAATGGCTGTCAGTTCAGTTTTATGCTTCTAATTTAAGAGAAAAGGAGCATCATTTTACAAGCTTCCCCTCCTCACCTCTACCCGCCCCCACTTTCTTCCACAATCACTTCAGTTAACACACAGTTCACCATGAAGGGCTCCCATTTTCGCAGAAACCAAGAAGCCACAATACTTGGGCTACTGTAAACCATCACAGGAATGCCACGGTGAGAGCCTAAAAGAATACTTTCCAGCGCGGGGGGGGGGGGGAGCGACATGCAAGATAATGCATTAAAAGAATTGGAACAAGATCTTAAATCACCACTTGTCTTCCAGAGCTGTGAGTGTGCAAAAAGGAGAGAGAGTTGGCTTTGATGGAGGAGCTCACTATCATGCTATTAAGCACATCAGCGTCCTAATTGCATGCACGGTGCCACTTAGCAGCGCTGCTCTGAGAGCGCCCTGCGACCACTTCTCCTTACTGATCATGTCAGCGACGGTACCAAGCCGCATCTCTAAGCCCCTGAAATAGTTCTGCACGATGGATCACAAAGAACTCAGCACCTGCACCTGCAATCTCCAAACACCTCCTAATAGCTTGAGTTTAACAAGGACATTGCTACCGCTTACCTGGAATCAACTAAAAGTAACCAAGAACCAGCTGCAAAGCCTGTCTTACCTCGGGCTCCGCGACTGTGTGCCACAGTATGCAAAACTAACCCTACCGAATGAGCAAGATTTGAAATGATCTACCAGGTCCTCGCCAACATCTCCATCTTTGGAGCTGCTTATTACATGGAACTGCCAATGCCCCCCCTTCCCCCAGGAACGGGCTCCCGGGTTGATTGAGACAAAACAGAAAGGAGCAAGGGAGAGCAGACAGTGACATAGGTCAGGGCTTTCAATACCCGAATTTCATCTTCCCAGTGAATCAGTCCCCCTCCCCCTTCTCTTTCTTTCTTTTTGTCGCCGTGAAGGCTTCCTTCGACTTCCTACTTCTGGTCCACAACGGCACTCTTAAAGGAAGGGCATAAAAGGAGTGAGTGTGTGAGTGCTGTTGCCTTGGTTAGCAGGGCAGAGGACGCGAGGGGGGGGGGCGGCTGGTAAATGCTGGGCTCTGGGAACCAATGCTTTTTCTCTGGTCAACCTAGCTTTTGCCTCACCACCAAAGTCGGGTGTCGAATCGCAACCCAGAACTAAAGCTAGGACGTTTCTCAGGCACAGGTTCTAAAGCCTGGAGACCTCGCTCTCGATCGGAGTCCACTCCAGCCCGTGTTATTAAAAGCGCCTGCATTTACAGGCACATGTGCAAGTGTGCCTGCGAATCATTCACGTTTGGCCACCCAGACGTGTCGAGACGAATGGGAACCGCAGTGGATAAACCTCACTAGTATCCCCCGACCTCCCATCGCCACGCCAAACGACTCCCGGCTTCAAACACACCCGAGGAAAGCAAAAGATTTACCTTGAAATTTCGGTTCTCCATCGGATCAAATGTGCACATCCATTCAGCTGGGCTGGGTCCCCTCCCCCTCCCTCCCGGCACTTCCCCGCCCCCATCCACCTCCTTCCCCATCTGAGAGCCCACTGCAAATTGTGTCCAGCCAAGATTAAACTCGAGCGTTTACAACTTTAATTCACTTCTGGTTAGCACGGGTCGAAGAGCTTACTCTCTCTCCACTCCCTCTCCCCTCTCCTTGCCATCAAAGGAGACCGAAAATTTGAGAAAATAAAGTTGAACGAGCCCGGCAAAGGCTGACATTCTCACTGGAAAACGCACCACCGATGCAAATGCGCGGGTGCGCGACGCATCCTCCGATTAAATTGTTTGGAGGGCAGGGGCGGGAGGATTGTATTTGTCCCCTTTCCAAAAAAGAAAAAAAAAAAAAAAAAAAAAAGAATTGAGCTCCTAGATCAGCGCCTGGCACATCCCTGCCTTAGGCACCACGGAGCCGCTCGCGCTGCAGCCCAGCACCCAGGCCGGCGGGGCTCGGGCGCAGCTGCTGGAACGGCCGCCCAGGCGGAGCACCCGGAGTTCCAGGACGGAGCTCCCCTCCCCCAGCCCGCCCCAAAGCGAAGGAAGGGTAAAGGGAAGAAGGGGAGGAGAGCGAAAGAAAGCCAACCTGCCACACACACACACACACGCTCATACACACACACATACATACACACACACACACGCATACACACGCTCACACGCACTCACGCACACACACACGAGCCTCTTCTGCAAAAGTAAACGACAGACTTACCCCGTCTCACATCTCCAGGGCCCACTCATCCTAGCCACCCTTTAAAAAAACCCTCCTGGGTGTGCACCGGGTGTCTGAAGCCCAGGCGAGAAAGGAGGCAGCGGGCACTGCGGGCTGAGCCGCCCGAGCAAAGAGGTGCCCAGACACCGGCAGCCCCGGGCCGCCGCGGTGGCGACCGCGGGTTCCGGGCTCCCCGCACGGC